CTAAGAGACACAAATTTCACAAGGCTGAATGGCAATGAATACGGAAACATTTGCACTACACATTTAGTTCTAATGTAAAATTAAAGCACACTTGTAGTACTAGGGTGAATTTCAGTGTAATATAAAATTAGAACAAAAGAAGCATGTGTTCAAAAACTAAAGCAGGTTTATTTAACTTAGTATTGTACTCATGCTAATAGCATCTATTTGATCTATAGTCACACCCAGATTTACAAAAGAGAAGAAAGTTCTAAAAATTTTGGCTAAAGTCCCAAAATATAAACTTGATAGCATTCTTTTTGGCATTTGTGAGCTTAGTAATTATGAAGCTCCTTGGTAACCCTATCTGCAAGGATACAAAATTCACCTTTCAACCTTCTATAGTAGTGCTGGACCTCTATCTGTTCCTATTTCTATCTTGCTTTTCAAAGATACAGAAGATTTGTTTCCAGGAGAATTCAAGATGGAGTTTGCAGTCATTGTTTTTGAATCTAGATAAGCTGGTAACTTCACGTGGCATGATGTTTTGTGTTGGAAAAAATGGTTTGTCCTATCTGTTTTCTCATTTCATAGCTGCCTAGGTAGCCTATCTTTCATGGACCCTTCTAGATTCTTCTTTGTTTACCACCCTACACTCTAGTTCCAAAGACTTCTTTCAATGAATGTCTATTTTTTCCACCTTTGTGAGCCTCCAGACCCTCTATCTCTTGACAATTCCCAAGTGCCCTTTTGGGCACTCACCCCTTCTTTGTGGACTCAGCTCCTGGGGTCCAAAGGTGGCTCACAGAGAGCTCAGATGACTGATTTAGAAGTAAGGCAAGCATCAATAAAGTCTATAAGACATAGGGTATGGGATTATCAACGCATTTCTTCCCTAGAAAATAATAAATGTGTATAAACTGTAAAGTCTGTCTCCCAAAAAATGATTTTTAAAAAGATTCCATACCTGCTTACTTTTTACTTCACTTGGCTTTGGAAAAAAACCCTCAACCTTCATTAAACAGAAATATAGATAAAATGGAGTCTTTCTGGGAAGGAATGCATCTTTAATGGAAATGTCAGGAAAGAATCTGTTTATATACACCGCTAGCAAGATGTGGAGATTGAACTTTTTTTCAATCAGATACTACTGACTTGATAGATTTTCAAAACCATATGTAAAAGTGAAGGCAGAATTGTAAACAGAAAAGCTGGAACTTACCCACAAAACTCTTTGACATTTAACTTACAGTATTTTTTTTCCTTTAGGAAGAAAACCTAATTGATATCACTTTTAATTTAGTTAGATAATAAGGCATAAAGAACTTTAGAACATTTTAAAACACTGTCAATATGCCCTAGTGGGTTTCGTATGTTTTTGATCAGAGCATGTAAGACAAACAATTTTATTGTGCCTAGGACACAAATAAATATGTATGTGTGTATTTAAAAATAAACAGCAGAAACACATTTTTGTCCTATCCTTTCTTACATGTGAGGTGCTGTTATATATTCACCACTTTATTTACTAGTTGTGACTCACTTAGATTCATTTACTTAGGCATCAGATGACCAGCTGTAGAATGCCAGTTATTTTTCTATACAGCCATGCCAAGCAATGAAGGACCCCCTTTCATAGCCTTCCTGAGAGGTCAGAAATTTTTTTGTACTTTTTTATTGTAAAAATGCTGTATAGAGAGGTTACAGTTACATGAGCAAGTAATGAGTGCATTTCCTACTGCTCATTGTTGCCTCCACCTTTGTTTTCCCCCTATTATCCACATTCTCCCCCCCCCCCCAGCCAAAGTTGTAAAGTTTGTTTTCAACATAGTGTCTTGTACGTCTCATTGTTACAATGGGTCAACCTGTATCCTTATTTAAGCATTTTGCTTTATCCCTTCCCCTCCTGAATTAGAGAAGTGTACATACAAGATGCAGGGCACTGACATCAAATACAGTGAAAATAGGGGTTCTATCGTGGGGGAGGAACATAAAAGGAAACAAAAAAATCACATGGTACATTATGAATACATTAGAAACAATAGCAAGAAAGAAAAAAAGATAAAGAAAAGCAAATCAAAACAACATTGAGATTCCACCTCACCCCAGTAAGAATGGCTATAATCAAGAAATCTAATAACAGTAGATGCTAGAGGGGATGTGGCCAGAAGGGAACCCTAGTGCATTGTTGGTGGGAGTGTAAACTTGTTCAACCACTTTGGAAAGCAGTATGGAGGTTCCTCAAAAGAATATACATAGAGCACCCCTATAATCCAGCAATCCCATTTGTGGGCATTTACCCAAACTATCACCAACAAGGCCATACTAAGGCTACCAGCACAACTATGTTTATCGCAGCATTATTTGCCATAGCTAAGATATGGAACCAACCCAGATGCCCCTCAGTAAATGAATGGATCAAGAAAATGTGGTATATATATATATATATATATATACACACACACACACACACACACACACACACACACACACACACACAATGGAATTTTATGCCTCCATCAGAATGACATCACCTCATTTGTTAGGAAATGGAAAGACTCAGAAATTTTTTTTTGCAGGCCATTCCATGATGAATCTACTCTCTCAGGCTCCATGTTGAGAGAAACCCTGCACTAGAAATTGGAGATTACTCTCCTATAATCTCCAAGAATGGACACTACTATGCCCAGCTTGCTCTTTGAAGTAGGATCTCGCTAATTGTTTTGCTCCAGCTGGTCACAATCCTCAACCACAATCCTGTTATCTCAGCTCCCAAGGAGCTGTGATTCCAGACATGAGCCCTCCACAATTGTGTATTTATAAGGTCCTCGTTTCTTCATGCCTTCTAAGTTCTTTTCTGTCTACATTGGATTGGTCACGTCAAGTACCATGACTTAAAATACATCAATGTGCTGATGGGTCCAAATTTATTGTTTAAGCGTGAACCTCTTCTTGGAACACAAATTTATGAATCAAACTGTCTACTTCCATGTGGAAGTTTAACAGTTACTGCAACTTAACATCTGTCTTAATCAGTTTGAACAGCTCTAATAACATATCATAGATGAATAGAAATGTGTTTCTTATAGTGTTGACAGCTGAGGAGTCCAACATCAAGGTGCTAGTATGTTTGGTGTTTTTGTGTGGGCTGCTCTATTTTCTAAGATAGGCTTTGGAATGGAGGCATTTTGTGTACCTTATATGACTAGAAAAATTGTATTAACTTGGGGCTGCTTTTACAGAGGTGCTAATCACACTCATGAGGGCAACATCTCCATGACTTAAATCACCTAAAAGGCATACCTGCTTCATATTGTTGCTTCCGGGATTGAAGCTCTACATGGGTTTTGAAGAGATGACCATCTCCTTCACTCTTTTCTTTTTTATACCATTGTAATTCATCCCCAATTCCTTAGGCTCCAATTCCCAGCATCATTCTTGTCTCCCCCCCCCACACCTCCCTTTCCATGATCAAAGAGGGAAAACTGTAGGCCCTCCCCTGGCACACACTCAATATTAGCGTCCTTCTCACTGATTCTGCCCCTGCGACCCTGGGTCTTGTCACCATCATCTTTTCTGAAGACAGTCATGCTACCTTCCTTTTTGCATCTCTGACTCAACATATGTCATTCTTAAGGTGCACTGTCAAGCCATTGAGAAAGATAATCCTCTTCAAATTGGTCTCAAATAAAACGTTTTCTCCTCAAGGTCTTCAGTATCTTTGTATCTTGGAAAACCATTCAGTCCGAAGTTACACTTTAGCCTCTAAGCTCTTCCATGAGCATGATCTCTTGTGCAGCCTCCCTTGGAATTATTTTCTCTGACTGCTCTTATTTTCATCACTCTTTTGGTCTTCTCAAAGTGTGTTCCTAGTTCAGAGCTCCATCCTGTTCACCTTTCTGTAACATCTCCCTATTCCTTTCTCTCCTCTCTGTGTCTGCACTGGTCACTCCTATGGCTTCTATGATCCTCTTTTCAGATGTATTTCATCAGAAAGACCCATTATGATCAGTGCCATCCGCATCCACCTCAGTCCCTTTAATTTTGTCTCATGGCATTATGGCTTCCTCATGTTATATATTATTTCTCTTTCTCATTTTTCTGGAATTTAAGCTCCATACATGTAAGTATATCAGCTGCCAAAATGGTGCCCCCAAACCTAATAAAAACTTAATAAATATTTGTGGAATGATTTAGTTGAATAGATGAATCAAAGAATGTCACACAGAACTAAATTTTAGGAAAGGAAAAGTTTTTCTTTGTGCCAGTCATAAGGCTTGAACTAAGGACCCAGGTGCTGTCTTTAAGCAATTTTTGCTCAAAGCTAGAGTTCTACCACTTGAGCCAAAGCCCCACTTCTGGCTTTTTGGTATTAAATAAAGATATGAGTCTTATACACATTCTTGTCCAAGGTGGCTTCGAACTGTCACCCTCAGATTTCAGCCTCCTGAGTAGCTAGGATTATAGGTGTGAGCCCTTGGTGCCTGGTAGCAAGGAAAATGTTTATGCATCATAATCCATAAAGGAAATAGTAAAATTAAAATCATTCAAAAGTTAAAATCATATTTGTTCTTTTTCCTAAGAAAAAGTCACTAAACCTAAATTTAGCTTTTTAAAGGTCTAAGTGCAAAATACCGGAACAAATATATGATTAGGCACAATTCTCTGATTGTCAGGCCAATCCAGAGCTAATTTGAGGCTTGATTCATCATTCATTGCTGGAGCACATTCGTAAATGCAAGGTGGTACACATACTAGCAAAGATAGAGAGCTGTAGAGTTTAATTATATTTAAATTAATGCAAGAAGAATCTGAAGAACTCTTCTTCGTTGACACCAATTAGAAGAAAAGGCTTCTAAAGAGTAAGTCATCTGTTGAGGAGAGACCTGTAATGTATTTGGCTCTCACAAATTTTCTAGGTTATTTTGACTTTGCTAAAACATAAGGCAAAAAATCATAAGTCTTGGGAGAGATTTTTCAGATAAATTGATCTTAATTTCTAGTACTGTTAAAATACTTGCCTTGAATAAGTCGACCTTGTTGAGGATGCTGAAGTTCATATCAATGGCGATAGACAACTGCATTGTGGTTGGCAGGGACTCAAGAAAGCCAGACTCATCTTCGTGAAGATAAATATGGGTACCCCAAAAGAAAAATAATTAGGGAAATAACTTACCAAAGTGTAAGTAGAAAATATGAAAAATGGAAGAAATAAAACACACATGTAATAAAACAATCAGATTCTATGGTTTCATGACATCTATTGGATCGACATAACTAGCACAATTGTACTACTGTGTATTTATATGAAAGAAAAAAAGTATTTTTTTAAAACTCTGGGCAACATACTAAATAATTCCAGAGTCTTTGCTTGCTGAAACTTTAGATAGGGAACTTAATGATTGGAGGACAAAGCCTAGTGAACAAACAAGGGTAGGAAATAGGATCTAATTTTTATTTTCTGTGTTTCTTGTCTCCAGCCCTAACTTGCTAGGGATGGCTAGTAATAAGGAGCAGCAGGTGGTGTGTGAAGGCTTTCAGAGCTCTGTCATGCACATTATCTTATTTGACTCTGTGACATCCCTAAGGGTAAGCGTTCTTATGGCTACTTTGCAGACAGAAGGAAAACAAAAAAGAACTAAAACCCAGAGAGGCTGTAAGTGACTTGCTGGATTGCACATAATTAGTAGGTGGCTCAGCTGGGAACAGAATCTAAGGCAGAAATGTACTAAGTGAGTAAATTCAAATTATTGTTACTTAGTTGCTTATTAACTCAATAAAGAATCTGAATACATTACAGATTTTGTTTTATATTAAAGATTTTTATATGTGAATTAAACAAGGGGCCTTCAGACTGATAAAAAGTTTCATAAACAAAACTGCCTCTGCTTAATGTCTAGTATACCCAGGGTTTATGAGAGCTGATTAATTTTTATGTTTCCTTATATCTATTTAGAAAAGAGAAAAACCACTCTGTTAAATCCCTATTTTAATTCCAATAGAGACTGGATATATAAGCATAAAAGCATAGGGCTGTATTATTCTAGTTACTTCCTAGGTTGGACTAGCTACAACTGATCAAGGGACAAATGTCAAGGCAGCACTTTTGTTGCTTTGGAGGATTTGTCCCCACTTGAACTGCTCTCTGGGGTAGCTGTTCAAGAGAGAACTATGCTTAATCATAGTCATTTAGGGGGAGGTTCTAAGCATGAAATATATCTTATAAGTGAGTGACAGAAAGTTCCATTATAAATGACCAGTGGGTCCTTTCTACTTAAGAATATATGTCTGTTTCTTTTGTAAAATACTTTTATTGTAAAGGTGATATACAGATAGATTACAGTTATGTAAGTCAGGTATTGAGTACATTTCTTTTGGAACAGTGTCTGTCTCTGTCTCTGTCTCTGTTCCATGTCTGTCTCTGTCTCTGTTTCTGTCTCTCTCTTTAATGATACTTGATATTGAACTCAGGACCCCAGAAGTGTTAAGCAGGCATTCTGTCACTTAAGCCACTCTCCTGGCCCCTCTTAGGTATGTCTGTAACCTAAGAATCTTATTTTTGTCCTAGAGTCAGTAATTTTATTTAAATGTCTCATTGGCCCTAATTCCTATTTTTATAGCCTACATTAAATGTTGTATTTAATTATTAACTAGCATATTATCTTCAATTCTCTTCATATCTTTTAATATAAAATATTTTAACTCCAGCATTGTGCCATAACTTGTAGACACTATTAATTAGAACCAACTCTGCCCTGCACTAGAAGAGTGTGGCCTGAGTGTTCTTTCACGGGAAAGGGTGGGGGGGCTTGCAGGAAGAGGAAGGGTTTGGAGAACAGGTGCACATCTGGATTACAGTGGGCTAGTTGGTGGTTCTGTACCTTTGATCAAATTTCTTAGGAGCCTCTGCTGTTTCCTTGTCTCTTAAAATGTGCCTAAATTTTCAGATTAAAAAGATTATTTTTTAGCTAGGCACCGGTGGCTCATGCCTATAATCATAGCTATTCAGGAGGCTGAGATCTGAGGATCATGGTTCAAAGCCACTTGGGCAGGAAAGTCCGTGAGACTCTTATCTCCAATTAACCACCAGAAAATCGGAAGTGGCACTGTGGCTCAAGTGGTAGTGAGTTCACCTTGAGCTGAAGAGCTCAGGGGCAATGCCCAGGCCCAGAGATCAAGCCCCACGACCGACAATAAGTGACTGAATAAGTGTTTTCTCTTTCAAGAATTATCTATTCCAACAAAATATAACTCATCATTTAAGAAAACATTTCCCATGGTATTAAGCTAATATCTTAATGACCATTTAATTATTTTGATTTTTAATTCATTTTCTTTTTTACTTCACATAATTTTTTTATATGATTAGGTTTACAAGAATTTAATCAATAATCTATCATACATACCTAATATTCTTTGAGAATCCCACGTGTATTCAAACCAAGTTCGAACACGATTCTGCACCCTTTGAGGAATGGAATAATTGTTCATGTAGGCAATGGTATGATCCATACAGACACGGAAGTTGTTCTGACTGGCTGTTGATGCTCCAATTATATCTCTCATCTAAAATCACAAATATGGTCACTCTGAATCCAGCAGAGGAATTGAAAGTTACTAAATTTGCAGTTGAATTAAGTGTTTTTACTTATCCTTTTATTATTATTACTATTATTATCTTTAGGTAGCTGTACAAAAGAGTTTCAATTCAACATGTCCATTTGAATACAATGTATCTTGATCAGTGTCATCCTTCCCATCATCTTTTCCCATCTCTTCCAATTCCAACTTTACAAGTTGCCTGCTTCCATTTTCACATACATACATTGAATATTATGACTGTTTTCTCCAAACTTTCTCTCTTCATTCACCTGCCTCTCCAACTGACTTGCACTAGTAAGACAAATTCCAGCTTCTAATTCCTTAGCTTCCTGATTTTTAACATACTGCTATTGGATCCTCATGTCATACCCTTTCCATAAAATATTGGGTAACAATAAGACTTGTCATATCACCATACTTGTGAGGACTCAGTCATATAGTATAGGTGACTACACACACATGTATATCACAGAGGAAATTGTTAGTTGATATTTAGAAACCAATATAGCCTGTGCATATTTGAGAAACGTGTAACAAAAGATGAGGAGGAACTAGCTAGTTCATTTTGGTGAATCTCACACTGCAAGCATTCCTCCCAGATTACCCAATGTGGTGTACTACACAGACTCACTTCATCACGAAATTGCCACCTCTGTGTTTCTCTTTGTGTTGTTTAGACAGATGAAATCAAATCTCATCATGCTTAAGGCACAACATTCAGCAGAAGCTGAAGTGTGCTGAAATTACTGAAGCATCTTCTACTGCTGTGACAATACTTAAGAAACTGTCAGGTTTAGTTCTTGGATGTTTATAACTCAGCCATAAAAACCCACTCTAGGTTAAAAGCTCATCTTTAAGGTCTCAGCACAAAAAAGATATATTGCTTAACTCTTCCTCTCACATAGAGAGAAGAAAGTGGTTGTAAATTTGCTTTGAGTGTGGGTTTATAATAGGAACAAAGCCAGAGCCTCACTTTCATGCCAAGTTTGCTCATTCATCTAGTAGCTATGGAGCCTTTCTGCTTATGAAGAAAATCCCAACCATATGTTTTTTTTTGAGTCTTGCTCAAATAATGACTTATATTGTAATGTCCTTCTAAATTTCCATTTTTAAAGCATTAATAAGTTCTCTCTTTCAAAATTATCTTCTGAACAGCTATGTAGACAATCCCACTGTATCTATCTTTCTGAAAACCTTTTTCCACAATCAAAAGAGATTGTTACTCCTAACTGGTACCTAACTATATATATCCAGTCATCTAAGGCAGGGAGACTTAGAATACTGTGGGTTGGCTTGGGAGACTTAATAGAGCATTAGTTGGAGACAAAAGACAAGAACACATTCATATTTGGTTTTGAAAGCCCAAGGGTTTTTGTAGCAATAATCAGACTAATGTATGTGTTATCTATCAGCAATCTTGAGTTGTGTTGGTGTAGGAATTGAGACTTATGTCTTAGCGCAATCTAAAGAATATGGGGGTATGAGCAATGAGCAATCAGATTCTATGAGTTGAAATAGAGAAACAAATATTTCAGTTAAAAAATTTGCAGTTAAAAAGTGATTAGTTTTAGGATGCAGTCACTGGTACAAATACTTGAGGGAATTTTAGTAAGGAACAAAATATTTTCCAAATGAAATTTTCTTTACACCTTCTTTTTCCAGTCCATTAACTTGTTTAGGGTGGAACTACCACATCCTGTTTATCTACATTTTCCATATTTCCCTTTTTTGAATTGTATGGGTGTATATCTGAAGACCTTTTGCCTATCTGATGGTTATATAATTCCTAGAGATAGTGATGAATATTCCACGGAAGGTCATCTACATACAAACAAATCCAGGAGCTGATATTCCCAGTTTCCTTCTTTATAGGGTCTTCAAATGGACTCCACATTCAGGCCATTATCTCTCTATACCCAGTGCCAAGAATGATAGAAATTGAAATAGTCCTACAATCAAAGCTTCTTGAAATGACTCACATTAGCTAGCCATAATCCTGCTTCTCTTTCCTTACCTACCCCTGTCCTGAAGCTTCCCTAGTTGATCCAGTTCCTCTCACTCCTCATAGAATGATGTGCTCCTCCTCTTGGGACCTATGAGTGTAACAAACTTACTTTTTCATTGGAATTGTATCTCAATTTGTTTCTTTCTCTGAAAGTCGTAATGAACTTTGCTGACAGGTTTTCTGATAGATTTAATGGTTAAGAAATGAAAAGACAATGTTGATTTAAGCATGTTGTCTTTACTGTCATTAAAGTACATGAAAGATAGTAGGGACAAAGTAGGAAAAGGAAGTGGAGGAGAAGAAAGAAGAAAAGGAAGAAGAAAAGGCAAAGAGGAGGGATGGGGCAAGAAAGAAGAACCATCAGGCAAAATTTAATTATTTTCTCATAAAATTTACAAGTACTTTCTAGTTTTCAAAAATGAAAACCTTAGGGATTCATATTCAACTCACCTGGCCAATCAAGCTGGAGAACACGAACACGCCACAAAAAAAATTCAAGAGTTGAAAAATAATTTCAAATGATGTTTGTGGTTCTGGAAGGCCCCCAATGGTTATTAAACTTCGAACTGCCCAATAAAAACATCTCAGATACCTGTGAAAATAAAACAAAATACATATTTTCTTTTTTATTTCATTGAATATTTTCTTTTTTAGGTTATGAGATATCATTTTGTTTGGGAGCATCGATAACTACTAAATTATAACAACTTTCTTATTAATCAAGGAGTTTTCTAATGTAAACTTCTTAATAAACATTGTGAAATGACTAAGCAATTCAACCCCAGGAAAGTTTTAGTCTACTTCCCCCCAAATTTAGTAGTCTAAAACAATCATTTTATTATGTTCATATTTCATGAATGAAGGGTTTATGAAAGGTTGCTCAGAGATGACTTGTCTATGTTCTGTAATGGTCCTTAGCTGGAGAGGCTAAGGTTGGAGATTTCTTAAAGATGTAATCTGAGGTCATGATTCTTATTGTCGGACGGGTTGCTCTATTCTTCTGTATAGTAGAATATAATTGGAATGCCCAAGGTAGCCTCTTCCCTTACAGATCTAAATCTGGGTTGGGATGGTAGGGAAATCTGAGGCTGGTGATTACTCTCTACCTTTTGCTTCCAAGTGTGAGTAGTTTGGGTTTCCTCACAACATGGCTGCCTCATAGGAACTAGACTTCTTCTTTTTTTTTTTTTTTGTACGCCAACACTTAATTCCCCACAGACGAAAATTAGAAATAGTTCATGACTGTCAACAAATGAATGAACAGCATGGCACATGCATACAATGGAATATCACTCAGTCATAAAATGCATTTTGACATGGGCTTCCACATGGGTGCACATGCTAAGTGAAGACAGACAGGCCAAATATTTTATGGTTCCACTTATATGAGGTATCTAGAATGGGGGGAAATCAAACAGAAAGCAGAACTATAGTTACCACAGGCTGGAGGAGGAGAGAATAGGCACAGAGTTAATTTCAGTGATGTGGCAACGTTCTGAGTACACATAATACAACACTGTGCTCCTATTTAAATGTCACTGTACTTACAAATATTATGTATATCTTATAATTTAAAAAATCCCAATGATCACAGTTAGCACTGAGTTAGTGCTCACAGTGCCCACATGGGTTTGTTTTCCACTTCATGTGGGCATTGCTAGAGTAGGCAGGCAGGCAGTCCAACACAACCAGGAGCAAATCTAAGCACAACTTCCAGACCAACCAGACATCACATAGTCCTTATGAAGGGCAGCTTCAGAAAACTTGAAACTCATTAAAAACCATATACATTTTCTTTTCTAATTAAAAACAATTTTTTTTTGAGTTTTGAGGGAGGGCAAGTCAGGCTACCCTCAAACTCAGTTCCTACTTTTGCCACCCAAGTTCTGGGTGGGATTGCAGGTATGTGCTACCATGCCCTGCCTCTACTTTACTTACAAGCATAATCAATACTGAACATTTTTTCAAAAAGTCTTCTTGTACAGAATTTGATATATTGAAAATAAGTTGGTTGTGGGAAGGTTTCTGATGACCAGGATCAAGATACAGTAGCCCTAAAGGTTAGGAGTTTGTATCCAGCATCCTCAAAACTAAAACATAGCATGGCCTACTTTCAAAGTGGGTATGTATTTTACCATGTCCTTCAATCCATAACACATTTCACTGGGAAAAGATGGTGCTGACTCTGCATAAGTCTTCTCATATACATCATTCACGTTAGGGGAGATGAGGGGCTAGTAGAAAATATGCATTTCTGTAGTATACCTGGTATGAAAAGTAGACCTCTACAACTTAATCTTAAAAGGAATAAGTTCCAGGAGCTTTTTATTGTTTCATCAACTGTACACATATAACCAGGTAGAGAAGTCCCCAATTTATGATCATGTCTCACTGTTATCTGCCCTTTGGTCCTTCATCTTCTAAGCACTTTTCTTTTAATGATATCAGACATTCATTCTGATCACAATGCAATCCAAGTGTGTATAAATAAACGCAGCGTCGTTTATCCGCCTCCCATGTTCCTTTAAATAGAAAATAGTGCTCAATGTCTCTTCACGGCCTCTTTGGCCACAGTTGTCCCACCTATAGTTGTAAAAACAGATTGTATGTAACTTCATCTGAAATCCTTCTTGAACTACAGCTCATTTGGTTAAAGAAATACTGGGAAAGAAATCTATTGATATTGTTGATAGTCTCCAAAAGGTGAGGACGGCAACTGGCTTGCAGGCAACTGGGAGGGGTCTTCAGCGAACTGAGGACCATTGGGAAACTGTGCAGAGGCAAATCTTGTCAACAAGATACCAGCTCCTTCAATGAAAGCGAGGAGAATGCCTCCCATTGCTGCTGACCCAACCATGGCCACCGGTCCGTTTCTGGCGGCAAGGATGGCTCCCGTTAAGGCACCACTAGTGATGAGTTCCAGGGATCTTCTTTTCCTCTGACTTGAACCATACTACAGTCAATCATGGAGAACAGACCACCTCAAATGGCAAAGCTACCTCCCAACTGGGGAGCCCTGGTTTTAATAGCTGTCAAATTCCCTCGTAGTCTGTGGTTCACTCCCACAGGAGAATTTCGAAAACCTTTGATGGCTTGGAAGATGCCACCACCTATGGTACCCATTGTAAAGACTCCACCACAGTCATCCACAATTCTCCAAGGGCACAGCTCTCAGGCATACTCCTCCATCTTGACTGGAACTAGACTTCTTATTTGGCAGCTGCTTGCCCCAGAACGTAGCAGCCAATGAAATAGTAAAATATTTTGTACAACCCAGAAATCCTATAGCAACTTAATTTCTTATTATGCTTTATTTGCAAACTAAATCATTTAGGCCTGTTCTCTCTCCACTGAGAAATAGCAAAAAATTTGAAGCCATTTTTAAACTGTCCAACAAGTAAGTTTGAAGGAATATTAGAGAGATTAAGTATATTTATGCTGATTGGAAACCTTTTATAGTTTGAATTTAATTGTTTTTGGTAATTGCAAATAGGACAGATAAATACCTTCCTATGTTATCTACCCACATTTTATTATATTATTGAATATGAAAACCACGGTGGAAACAGCAGTGAACTACATGAGAAACATCTTAATAGAAAAATTAATGTTGAGTACAATAGATAATTTATTTAGAACTTTAGTACTGAAGTAAGCCAAATATTCATAGAGATATACAGGATAAAGATTCAATACTTTATTTGGACAATTGCAAAATGAAGAGGCTGATGCAACTGTAACTCAGAGAAGAACAGAAAAGAGTATGATAAAGATTAGAAAAGCACATTAATTTGTCTGTATTTTGTTGTAGAGTTCATGTAGTTCATAGTGATCTAGGAATAAAAGTTAATATTAAAACCTTGCTGTGGAATTACAATTATATATTTTGTTTTTTGTGCATTATTAGGTATTCCATTTGTTAAGCTTCATGTAATTCCGAGACATCTCGGACAAGTGTTCTCTAAACAAAGGAGGAGGCTGCAATGCTTGATAAGAAATGTATGCATTATCCTGCCCATGTAATTGTAACCCCTCTGTACAGTATGTTCACAAAAAAATTAAATTAAAAAGCCTTAAAAAATGATCCCATATGTAAGGAACGGCTTCAGATATTTTAGACTCACTTGCATTTAATAGGTCTGTATTATCAATTTTAGTGTCCATGGTAGACACAGAAATATAGCAAATTTTACAGAAACTTGGCCTGGTTGGGCTTTTATTTGTTTATTCTAGTGAGTGTTATTATTATACATTAGTTTTTGAGAAAGGATGATCTATTCTTTCTGGAATGGTGTATATTTTTATGATCTTCAAGTATTGAGAGGTTGAGGTTTTCAACTAATGAAGCAAACTGAATCAACATTTAAATATAAACAGATATAGAAAGAAATGACACCTTCTAAAATCCAACACCTTTTAAAGGACATGGGAAAATTTAAAAAATCTGGTGGTTATAAGAACAGAAAAGAGGAGTCTGGAGAAAGAGGTGGAGGAGAAGCTGGGGGCTAAACAAACTCTTGTGTAGAAACCAGTTTTAGTGTTCCAGTGAAAAGTCCAAGGCTAGAGAGTCACACCATGTGTACATAGTACAGAGAGTTTGGCCAGAGAGGAAAAATTCAGGCAGCTTGGTTAAAGAGACAGATTCAAACACTCACTGGTGTCCGCAGTGGTGGTAGTGGCATCCGCCACATCAACAAAGAGAGCCCCAGAAAAGGCGCAAGAGGTGGTGGAGAGAAGATTCTACTCACCACCAGCAAGGACTGACAAGGAGCAGAAATCTTCCTGCTGACCATAGATAGTCACAGACCATGGATGGCCTGAAACCAAGGGAAAGGCTTAAGTACCACACAAGACATCTCAGTCCTTCTCATGGAGCAACTGTGGGAAGGTAGCCCCTCCCGCACCACTGGAGAAGAACGCTATCTTTGATAGTTACAATGACTGGCCCCTGAACAACTAGCTCATAATTCAGGCCTGGGAAGAAGAAGACAATAGGAGCCATTCAACTGGTCAAAGGAACCAGAACTGCAGGGTTCAGCTCTACCTCAGGAGAAAGTTGTGCTTCCCAGGCAGAGAAAGCTCTGCCCTTGGAAGAGTAACTTTCTTTACTGGGTAAACAGAGCCAGAGGCTGCCCCTCCCCACTGCAGCCTAGGCACCAGACCCAGTGCACTAGGGGTAAAAGAAACACAATTGAAACTCAGTAAACATAAATCCTGAGAATGGCTCCAGGCTGGGCTGCATGCGTGTCTCAGGAGCTAGCCCCTCAGGGAAAAGCTACTGATTGCTGACAGGTCTCAACAATACCCACAACCTAGCTCCATCACAGCAACTCCAAGCTAGAGGAAATAGCTATCTCCTTCTTTTGTGATACTCAAAGCAGATCACCCTCCCACTGAACTAGCCTGGGAGGAAGGTCATAAAGTCCCTGGTAAGGCAGAGCTTCTTTCTGCCTGCTTAAACAAACTGAAACCAATTAAGCCACAGGAAAACCAAACACCACAAGCAAACCAGAGACTCTACCAAGAGACTGGTTACGGACACAAGGGAGACACTAGACGCCCTCCCTGCAAAAAAATTGAAGAACGCTTTTT